AGGCGGCGGCCCGGCGTGCTGCAACCATGGCGACGGCGGCGGAGCCGGCCCGCCCCCCGCGGGGCCGGGAGGCGCGGGATTGGTCGGGGGGCGGGCGCTCGCCCTCTGCCCCCTGACCCTGCGCGGCGGCGGCGGCAGGAGCGGAGGCGGCGGCTGCTGGCGGCCGTTTCCTGGTGGCCTGGCGGCGGCGCGGGAGGGAGGATGCGGCGCAGGTCTCGGCTGCTGCTCTGCTTCGCCTTCCTCTGGGTGCTGGGCATCGCCTACTACATGTACTCGGGCGGCAGCGCCGCGCTGGCCGGCGGTGGCGGAGGCGGCGGCAGGAGGAAGGTGAGAGCTCAGCCCGGGGAACGTGTGCCCGCTCCCTGCCCCGGCGGCGGGGCGGCGCGGGCCGGACGGGAGGCAACGCTGCGCGGCCCTCGGGCTGGGAGCAGGGGCGGCGGCCGGGGGCATCTGTTCACCACCGCTCGCTTGCAGGCGGCGTGAAACTGCCACGGGCTGCTCCTTCCCCCTTCCAGCCCGCCCTTCTCCAGCCCGCTTCCCGGAGGCAGATGGCTTCTTTGTGGACTTCAGACCGATTTCAGCCCCGTCGCGTCGCTCCTTATCCAACTGCAGCCGGCCACGTCCCGGGCCGGGGGAAGTTGGTGTGGGGAGGGCCGGGGCTGCGCTCCGGGGCGGGGGGGCCCCGCCTGGCTCCGCTCCGCTCCCGGCACAGAGCGTCTGCTCCTTTCAGCATTCTCCGCCGGCACCGGAGTCCTTCGGGCTCGTGTTCCCACCTAGAGAGCACGCGAGGATCCGAGCTGCTAATGCATTTTCCCTTTGGATGCAACGCGCTTTCCTTTCTCTTTAGCGCTGTGTCTGAAGGGTACCGTTTTCCGACCGGTTTTGCAATATTCCAGGAAATTGCCGGATTTGTCATGTTTTGTGTCTGTGGCGTGGAAGGTCTGTCTCTTCCTTCTTATAGCAGCTCATGTTACGAGTGTTGCTAATGTTCAAGAAGTTCCCTGCGGACAATACATGAGTAATTTTTCAGTATTCTGGTCATCAGGTTATTAAATAGATTTTTCTAGGTGTTGTAGTAATTCATCGATCAGGAGCACAGCTGGAAGTTAAGCACATCACAGTTCACGTTTGTGTCAATCAGAACGGGGTTTTGTGGCATGATGTGGACAAAGTTGCCACTTCCCTTTATCTCTGCTTAGAAAAATTAAGTGCTTTTTTGCTTTTTTTTTTTTTTTTTTTTTTTTTTTTTTTTTTTTTTTTTTGTGGTATTTCGCCTGCAATAAAGATTAGCAAAATCAAGAGTTTTAGAAACTGCTGTTTAAGCCTTCTATTTTGAAATAGGAAAGGTGTAAAGCATAATTGTGTAATTTTTTACAAAAAACCCAGAAGAGGGCAAGAGGGCAATTGAATGAAGTGCGCTACACTTGAACGGTGTTGTTTGCTAATGAATTGCTGCCTCCTATTAAATGAAAAGTAGTGCTTTGTAGGTCTAGCTGATATATGAAAAGGAATATTTTTATGTTTCTTTAATGCAGTTTGGTTCATTAATGTATGTATTCCCTGTAAAAAAAACGCTGATGACTTGTTCCTGTGTCGGGTTGTGGAAGCAAATACTTGGATGGCTACTTATGTGAGCAAGGGTTTAGAGAATGAGTCACTGCTCACTGATAATTGCCTCTCTGTCCTGTTTTTTATTGTCTCTGTACCTTAGGAATATGTTCAACAGTGACTTTTGATGTAATATATTAGAATAAGTCTAAGTATGTATTGCCACATACAAGCTCCTGGTCCTTCAAAGTAGATACAATAGCAGAAATAGATCAAGCATGTGAAAGTAAGGCAGTAGCCTAAAGCCTTTCTTGAAGAACCACCAGAGTGTATTTAGAAAGTAAAAGCAATCTTACACTGCTGCTATATAATGGGATAAAGAAAAGCTATCAAGGCAAATGTATCTGCAGATAGGGAAATATATTTTTAACTCTTATGGTGTGTTACATTTGGAGTTTCCAGACAGATTTGCAATTCTGTTCAATTAATTTTTACTGCTGAGAAAACTGCAGTGTGGGGGTAGTGATTTGCCCAAGGTCACCTAGAAGACTTGGTGAGAATAAAATAGGAAAGAAACCAGTATTTCTGAGCAAGAGTCTGATGTTTAATCTGGTAGAACCTGTTGCTGTTTATTATTGATATTAGTAGCAGTTTTTATTATGGTTTTAAGAGATCAATGAACCCGTTACTTGCTTTGGTAGCATTATTTGGTGTCATTCTGCACAAAATTTAGTAAACCCTACTGGTCTGGGTAGTTGGGAAAGTTTAGTAAGGAACAATTTCAAGAAAATGAGACATTTCATAGACCTGAGCTGAAGCCCAGTGCTGTGTTTAAAAATATGAAACTTTAAAGTAAGGCCATGGTAAGGAAGTAAGTAGATACTGTGACAACAAGAAACAAGTGGGGAAATGAACTATTATATGTGGATTGGTGATTTAGGATTCTATTTTCTGTCAGTGAAGCATAAAATTTAATCCCAGGCTTCAGCATAGGTTAGCAAATGTAAGTAGAGGAAGATGTGTGTAGTGTAATAGCTTTTTGAATCAGAATAAAAGGCTTATTAACTTAGTGCCAGACACTGGTGTAAAGCAAAAAAAACAAACTGTCTTAAACTTATGAGCAGAAACCCTGCTGTAGTAAATTTCTTGCTGTGTATGACTTCATGTAGTCCTTTTTACTTGCCCACTATTTCAAGATAATGGAAGCAGTTGCTTATAGGAGAACACAATTTTTAATAAATTGTAGTCTTTGCTGTTTTCAGTCTATAAAATTACAAAAACTAGGAGGGGATAGTTCATCATTTGTCTAAGTAATTTGCATGTTAATTACAGATCTGGTTGTACAAACAGAATGTGGTTTTCCATAAGGATTATATTTTTTTTTTTTTTTTTTCCCCATACACAGACCTATGTGTTATTCAGACATACTGGACTTGTCTGGTTTGGCACCCAGTCCTGTGGTGTGTTGAACAGTACCAATTGTCTTTCTCTTCAGTAGAATTGAAGGTGTTTGCTCTCTGCCAGGATTGCACCTGAGTAAGAGAAAAGAGTGATTTTTTTTTTCTAATTTGCTTTTCTTATTAGAGTAGTGTCAGAATTAATCTAAGCTCCTGCTTATTTTGGTTCTTCATTTACAATCGTTCTAATAATATCTGTGAAGTTGTTTGGATGTTGCAGGATGTGGTACAGCCTTGATAAAGTTTTTGGCCCCTTTCAACAATGGTGCAATCCACAGCTCTGTGCGCAGTATATTGACCTGTTAGGGTCTGAGTAGGCGTGAAAGAGTCTAAAGCACACAAAGCACAAGATACCTCACTGGTAAATGTGTAAATAATAACAACAACAACAAAAAAAAAGGGTACAATGCTTCTCATTCTGGACCTAGGCATAAAAACTGTAGTAGAAAGAAGTGATTCACATCTGGAACCGACAACTTTTTTTAAAAAAAATGTCTGCTTGAAAAGAACAGGGTAGAATCAAAGCCTTTAATTCAAGGGGCTTGAAGGGGACAGAAGTGTTTTGGGTTTTTTCCCCTTCTTCTCTCCAGTGCATCTCCAATCAAAATTTTTGTGAACATGAGAGAGCCATGTTCATTTGACTCCTTTCCAGCTGGATCACTGAGCTGTAGATTGGAAAGAGTGAGTCTGATTTACGTCTAAAGGTTAGAGAAATGGTTCCCATACAGAGGCTGTGACAGAGAAGAGAGCAAGTTGAAAGCCTAACAATTGTGAGACTGAAAAAAAATGTGGTCTACTTTTATGTTCACTAAATGTGTTTTATATTAAAAAGCCTTTGGAGTGGAGACTGGAAGTGCCCTTCTTTTCATGGATAAATTTCCTAACCCAGAGCAAAAGCAGTTCATGCTCTCTGTCTCAGACTTGCATAAAAATGGAGCAGCTTCTGCAAGATGGTTAGAAAGCCAAAGTTATCCTGATGTGATCCCCTCCTAAGACTGGTGTGAATTTGTATATTTGTCACACAGATTTTAAGTTGTTGAACGACTAAGCTCTTGCACAATAGAGTGACTGGATTGCAATCAAAAAGAAATTAAAAAACCCAATGCAACAAAACCCCACACCAAAACCAGCCAAAAACTCCAGCTGATTACTAAAGAACTTGCTCTTCTAGGCATTAAGAAAGTAGCTCCTTGTAATTGAGCCCTTCAGGCTGGACAGAGGAAGGTTTGCATCTTATTGAAAGTGCCAAATGCTTTGCTGCTTCCAAGAGAGAAATCCTCAGAGGCATCTCCAGAAGGAGATCTGTGGGCAGAATGGAGATTTACTGGTGAAAGCTAAGGCATCCAGAGAGGCCTGCAAGGTTAAGCCACAGCTGAACTAAGGTTCATAGCCTTCTGGATTTAGGTGCCAGAGTGCTGACAAGCTTTTGCATTTGTTGCCATGTAAAGAATCTCAGTTGTTTTTAAGTGGAGCATCTGTCATCTTCAACCCTGTCTAGAGGAGAAGGCCAAAAGCAATATATTGGTAAGGAATGATGGATCACTTTCACAGGTAGTTCCTACATTTAGAAACATTTTTTGTTTTCACCAACTCCGCCCCCCCTGAAAACCAAAACCCCAAACTGCCTTGAAGTAGAAGGCTGTTACTCTCTTGGCTTGCCAGATTTACTGGGTGTAATGGAATGAACTGGAGAAATCTAATTTGGGGCTAGTTGAGCCACAAGGAGGCAGGCTTTTCCTGTGGAACTGGTTATCCTGTACATAGTGCTAGTTTTCCCATCGCTTCCCTTTTTTTGTTTTGCTTTTTTTCTTTATTATGGAGCAGACTTTAGATAGGTGACTGTACTGGAGCTAGCTGAGGTGAAATAAATGAAGGTAAAGGGTGATGCTTCATACTGAGTATGTAATTGATTAAAAATGTCTCAATCACTGAGTAAAGCAGGGGAAAAAGAAGCAAGCCTTGTAAGTTCTTGTTCTGTATGGGTAAAACTTTAAAATTACTTCTTTCAGCATACACTAAGCTTTTTTTTTTCCTTTTTGGGTTTTTTTTTTTTTTTATTTTTTTTTTTTATTTTGGGACCCCTCTACTATTTATTACTGGTAAAGGAGGCTTTTATTGACGTTGTATGAAATGGCACACATAGCAGTCTTCCTCTCTTCCTGCATAAACTACAGATTTAGTGTACCTAAATGCTTTTTTGATGGTTTAAGTAAGAAGGAAAGGAAATGTGTGTTAACTTAAATTCATTAATCTGTTTATGTGCACCTTAAGTGTTTCTCTTGAGGCATATGAAACAAAGGGGTTAAACTTCAACTCTGTTGG